CTTCACCACCACAGGGAGAGACTCCTGCTGGGAGACAGAAGAGGAGGAAGCCATATCAGCCGCCATTTTGCTCCTCCAGAAAAGGGTGTGGCTGGAAAGTAGGCGTGACTTCAATTAATTAATTAATGTACAAGCAACTAATTAATGTGTACAATGAATTTTGTAATTTTGGGTAATATTTATAAGAAGAAAAACCAGACAGAGACTTAATGTTCTCGTGTGTTCCACACAACAAAAACTCTTCAGTTTAAAGTTGCCATCAGTGTTATTATTATTATTATTTATTTATTTATTGCCAGGAAGGTCTGGCAGTGGGTTGATGAGGTTGCAGCTGTTGTGTTGGTAGAGGTCCTTGAGGGTAGGACTGATAAGTGGCCCCAGGAGGAGCAGGAGGTGGTACAGTGGGAGTGGCTACATAATAAGCAGTGGGGTAGGCTGAGGTGTGGTATGGAGCCGTAGTGGGGGCAGACTGGCCATCTTGCACCTGGAATAAAATATTTAAAATAAAATAATTCACAGTCACAACTTAAAGTGGTCTTAATTCTTACAGGATAAGCAGGTTGGTAAGCATAAGAATACTGAGCAGCTCCCATTGAGTTGCTAGTATTACTACCAGGAGAAGAATGAAGGAATAGTTCAACATACCTTGAACCTGATGGGGGGAGAGAGAGAGAGAGAGAAGAGAGATTTAAAATGTTACATGTTACATACTAAAAGAACTCTTCTCTTACTCACCAATATGTCCACGGTCCTTCTTCATAGCATTCACTGCGTCTTCATGAGTACAGAACTCAACCTCTCCCTCACCTGAAGCTCGTCCATACGTGTCCTTCTCGAGGGTAACTCGAAACGGGACAAGAGGAGAGAAGAAATCAAATATCTCTCTCTCGCTGGCAGAATAAGGTAGACCTCTCATTCGAACACAGTGACCGCCATTAGGATCACTGCATGTAAAGAAATGAATAATTAATATCAAATATTAAAAAACTGAGGTGATTCTAATTAATGCCTATCAATACATTCTAATTAATGCCCATCAAGAACTATAGATACATGTGCATTTTGAATTAGAGTAGCACCTGCTATATGTTGGTCTCATCATGTCTCTACCAGCCCCAGAGTATCTTGAGTGTCCGTAATATTCTCTTTCACTTCCATAATCAGACCAGCCTCCACCTCTTCCGCCAAACTTATACCCCGCCCCTCTATAATTAAATTAATAATAATTATTAATCATTAATCGTCATTGCCTGTGGTATGGATCAGAATCATATCTCCTCCCTCCTCCTCCCCCTCCTCCCCCTCCTCCAGGGTAGGGAGCTGGTCTTGAGTACTTGGCCCAACGATCAGCAACAGGTTTTATGTCACTCCGAGTGGTTCGGAATACTTCAATGTACCTACAAATTAAGTGATGTACATGTACAATAGTGACAAAATAATAATAAATTTGCCAAAATTTTACCCACTACCCCACTCCAAAATAAATAGGTAATAGTAGAGATTACTATTACTATTAACAAGTAAATAAAAAACATTAAAAATGGAAAAGTAGTAGGATTAAATTGTAAGAAAGTAAAGCAACTAGAGGGTACTTGCAAACATGGTGATGAAAGAGAAATCCATCACCAACGTTTATTTCCAACTGGGCTCTATGGAGTACTTCGTCACAGACTAAACTATCCAGCACAGACTTTATCATTTAGTGAATACATAAAATCAAGACTTTTAAACAATAATCCCCGATTTCGCAGAAATCATTCATAATGCTTGCACTACTATGGAAAATTAACAAGGCCTTAAAAACTGGCATACATAATTTATTAAAAACATCAAGAGGTAATGTTGGTCAAACTGTTGCTGAAATATTACAAAAGAGAAATGTGTTAGATGTAGAATTTGAGGGCAATTTAAGTACCATGTTGGCCTCCAATATGGTGCACAAATCTATATTGGTTCCGTGTAAGAGGTAAAGTCAAAGCAATGATTGTTGAGTATGGTTCACCAACACTTTTCCTAACAATAAGTTGTGCTGAATATGATTCAGCTGATATACCATATTTAAG